CGTCTTCAAGGCTTCAGGTCAGGTCGTCAGGAGGCTTCAGGTCGTCAGGAGGCTTCAGGTCTTCACGACTTCAAGGCTTCAGGTCGTCAGAAGGCTTCAGGTCTTCAAGGCTTCAGGTCGTCAGCAGGGCTTCAAGGCTTCATGTCTTCAGAGGAAAGTCACCCGGGATTGCCAACACACTGCAAAGTGAGATCTAGGAACCGAGAAGTAAATTCTAGTGTGAGGGTCCGGTAGGCCGTCCTGGTGTTTGGGTTTGGCGGTGGCAGATTATTTGGCAGTCTATGTTGACATACATTCTGGCACATATGATGACACAATATGACACGTACTATCACGTACTGTATTCAGACATTCTATTTGGCATCTATGTGTAACATTCTATTGGGCATATTGTGACATTATTTGGCAATGTTTGGCATCTATTGTGCATTCAATTCTGTTTGAGATATTCTAGCATTCAGTGTAATTCTATCATATTCTATCTAGCATTTACACTGGCATTCTATTTGGCCTGCATTCTGGCATGTTCTGATCCAGTGGTGCCCGTTGCGATCTGGCCTGTTTGCGGAATCTAACGGCCTTCACTGTGCCAGTGGGGAAAGAGCAGATGCAGAACACAAATAGCGGAGCAGATAGAGCATGATAGAACTATAGATTACAGAGCCCCAAAGAGATAGAAGATGGCGAGCTCCTCTCAACTTGCAATTATCATATATTTGTTTATTGTTTAGAGTTGGCTTGAATGCATCAGTATGTGTCGAGAGCCCCTCACCGACTTGCCCTTGTGGTAATCTCTATTTTGTAGGAGCTGACGCGTGCGGTCCGTAGGCAGCCGGTGCCTTTGGCTTGTGTCCAGCAATTCTTTGGCAGGGAAAGGTTGTTTTTCTGTATGTAGACCTTTGTCGGAACGAGTTTCTGAGAAGCAATGTCCCTTTCCCTAAACAATTGGATGGTGATTGAGCTCATTTTTTGCAATGCAGGCTTAAAGTGTTGTTTGATTCTGATCAACCAGACCTTTTGTAAGTTCTATGCCTCTATGCCCACCAAATTCTGCTATTGGTGCTGAACCGTTTAACCCAGAGAAGCTGGTTGTTGCGCAAATTTGGGGTTTGGTTGCTTTATATATGTTGTTTGCCTGGTGGGTGTTGGCTTTCCCATCGGCATTCAGATCGCGGCTTTCTGCGGTATGGTGAAGCACTCAACATATTGTGCTTGTGTTTTTTGCTTCTGGTTTCGTTCAAGGAACTCTTAGACGCCAACCCGGCGGCGTTGGAGGTGCGGCGCGGTTGGGAGGGCACGTTTAAACCTTCAAGCCTCTCACCCAAAGAGATGGATGTTGGAGTGATTTCATAAAAGATGTCAAATGACAATCGTGAAGCAGATGTGAGTTTTGTAGATGGTACCGTTTCCCATGTCTTTGAGTCTTGCACACATAGGGACACCATGCCTTCATATGACATTATGACCTAATTAACACAGCCATCGAACCACTGGGTTTGGAGTATGTTTGTTTGAGGTTGTTATGGTCGGTCGCACCTGGCCTGGTGCCGTTGGCCAGGCCTCAGCTGCCACTCTTCAAGGGATGCTGGGTTCGTGCCTTGGGCCTGCTTTGGTGGGTCGCGGCCGACGGCCCGGTAGGCCGTGTTTGGAGCCCCAAGGATGCCTGCAGTTTGGCGTGGTTGAAGGGCGTACCACTGAGTTAGAAAGATAAGGGTATGGGCGTTTCTGAGGGATGTTTTGGGAGTTGTGGCTTTCAAGACGTTGATTGGATATGTCCCACAATGTCCCACATGCCTAAAATGATGTCTTGTGAACTCCGATGCCTGTGCTTGGTCAACACTGAGAGATCTTGAGAGCCCGATCAGGCCTGCCACGCATGATTTCACACAGCGGGTTTGAGTGGCACTGCATCTAAATTCGATCTTTATATATCTTTATGTTTTTTCCGGGGGGGCGTTTGCAGAGCTTGCAACCTCCGCAAAATTTTGATGGATGAAGAGTTTCTTTACATGAGATGTTAGGATCACCAGCAAAGATCACCAGACGAGATAGACGAGTCACGCCAGCTCAAGTCGCTGGGGGCAGGTCTACGCTGACCACGCTCCGGGACTGCCCCGAGGCACGGGGGCTGACCATGGGGGACCATGGTTGACTGATTTGGAGGTTGGATTGACCCGTTCATAAGCACAAAACAACAATGAACCAGCTGTTGAATGCCGATCTTTGGTGATCAAGCTTTAAACATCATCGTAAGATATCGTAAGCTTGGTCATTGGTTGAGCCAGTGTTCGCAAAGTTGTGCATACTGCCGATCAGACGACCCAAGGCGGACGAAACTACTTTGGGGGGGTTGTTAATCCTGTGTCGACGCGACGTGGAACAGGTCATGGTCATTGTGCAACGCTGTGCATTGTCGTTGTTGCCGATGCTGACTGGCGATTGTCCATGCACGTATTTGCATTCGAGACAACTCAGAGACTCTATATAACAATATATTGTTTCTGTTATAACAATATACTGTATATATATACATATACATATACACACATATATGTATTACACTCAAACTGGCGTGGTGTGAAGTCCATAGAGGGGACATGGCACGGACACCGAAATCGCTATTTGTATTCCTTTGAAATCGACCCATATGTCGGGATGGTCGACACTGACGAGATCTCGGCGTGCCATCGGAATTGCCGCAGGTGCTCCTCGGCGCTTTGCTGGAGCATCAGCGGCTTTTCGACGAGTGGGGGCTGGACGTGGAGGCGCTTGCGCCTTGCAATCTCGGGACAGAAGCTCAGTCGATTCATGGAAGAGGGGGCCCAAGAGGGTCTGAGTGGAGAACACCAAAGGGTCGAAAAGGGATGAAACATCTCATCTGAATGTCTCAAGGACGTGTCTAGGTCATGCTGTCTATCTCATCTATCTCAAATCTTCGTGACAACTTCTGTTCCCGAGGATTCGATGTCAATGTCAAAGCATCGAATCCAACGGACCGTTCTGAAAACTTTGAGAAGAACTGGAGTTCACAATGACAAGTTGGAAGTAGTTGGCTGGGCATCCGTACCAGTGATCCTGTCGATGAGCATCCTAGAGGCAGTGCTTATACACATGGTCCAAGGTTGATGACCTATTAAGAGTGGAACATACCCAACCTGAAATGTCCCAGGAAAAGTTGCTACTGACCTGAACATCTCGCACGTGGGGGTGCGATACTGGATGCACAGCATCACTTTCTTCGCCCTCACCAGATGAGTCGATGGTGAGTCGACCATCAAAGCCCTGTCCCTTTGTGAAACACTCAGCTTCGATGATCTCTGGCCATCTCAAGGGCCATTTCAAGGTTGTTGATTTCTCACGCGATTTCGGACGAGTCAATGACCACAGAGGACATCAGAGGACTCTATACTTTGTTCTTGCAGAAAGCGCCGCTTTCTCATGTCAATACCGTCCCACGACCTCACATGGTGAATACGTTTGACCCCGGTTTCGACCTCACGCGACGCCACTCCAGGGCGCTGCGTCTCCACGCCCAAATCGTCCGCATCCGCCGCAGGTCCTGACACGTTCCCCGCGGATCCTCTTGAGGGTTCCAAGGGAGCTGCGCTGCGTAGCTCAGCGAAGAAGACGATGAGCTCAGCTGTGCCGAGCGATTGAAGACGAACGATAAGCTTAAGGAGGATACATGTGACATGGGAGAGATGCTTTGGAGTGGGTTTCTTTGGGGCCTCATACTGCCATCATGTTTGGGCTAATTATTGCCATCAGGTTTGGACATCTATAATGAGAACATTGGGATGGGGGGGGAACGCGACAACGAAACGACGTAGGATGGCCTATTGGGGTGTTGTCTTCGATGGGTTTCGCCCAGCGAGATGAGCCGGAGGGCCTTTGATCCGCACGAGGGTGCGGTGGAGGCCATGGCCGCCTTTAAACTTGGTGGTGTTGGGCCTGGGTTCTTTTTCCGCAGAAATCCGGCACGACCCGAAAATGGTACAGTAAATTTGTTGAATTGGTGCCAAAGAAACATAACAAACACATCAAAACATAGACCTGTCAGCTGTGTATTTTTGATATGCTTCGTTGTACTTGTGGATGTTGTCCTTCAACCGTGTGTTGGTTGCATCCCACTGCTGCCACTCCATGATGGTCGAAACATTGCCAGCAGATACGGGTGAAGAAACAAAGGACAGATTGATGTCACCTACGAAAGAAAACATATTACAGTAGTAGAGATAGAACTTGTCACAGGCAGTTCCTGGAGAATCCAAATGAATTCAAGGGCCGCTGCTTGAGGTCTTGGAATTCCTACGAGATGATGCGCTGCTTGGACGGTCCCACGTGGGAAGTCCAGGGCGGTTTGACCATTGATGGCTGCTGCACATTCTGGGCCCAAGAGCATGACATGGAAGCATCCTCGAACCAAATCGACACCGAATTGTGTATGCAGAATAGATAACACATGTCCGGGTGGATATGCCTGTTCTTCTAGCTTGCTTGGCTTCTTCATGTTTCCAAGTTTAGCTTCCGTGTTTGGCTGACGTCTCAGTTATCAAGTCCCTCATCCTTCGACCCAGTCATCTCAGGTCAGGTCCTGGCATGAGCTGTGAACAAATCCGCCAGGCGCCAATCCGCCAAGCGCGCGAAGACGCGGCGCTTCTTCGATGGCACAAAATGTGGATTTCTCTTTTGAAAAAGCCCCGCAAAACACGGAAAGCCGTTTGGCCCGTTTCACTCCCGTAATATAGGTTTTTGTTTTCAACCTTGTTTGTTGTTCAGTCTCAGTACTGCTTGGCCAATTCGGTGCGTTACAGGGTGCTTGTGTTATTATTGTTACTGTTTTTTTTTGGGTGTTAGCGGAATGAAGGGAGCAGAGGGCCCACTCCTTCGACATGAATCGCCTTTACACCACGTCGAAGGTCTGCTGGATTCTGCTGGATTGCTGTATTGAGGTTCTTCCCATCAGCTCGGTTTAACACAGCGGAATCGACTTCCACTGCAGCTGTTCGGCTCATCCCACAGAGCACACGAAGAAGATGTCGAAGAACGCGGAGAAGAGTTACGAGGATTTGGTGGCAGAGCAGGTGAAAGCGCTGCAGGTGCCTGAGAAGTTTCAACTCACAGCACTGGCTGTGGATCAAAACCTCCCAAAATTGTGTCACATAACAATACAATACATTGCATATCTCTGGCGGATCAAATGTTTTCACAAACCCGGTGCCGGTGCGTTAATGGGGTGTGTAAGGTGCGTCAGCCTTCTTAATTTCTACTCGTAGGGATTGACAGGGATCTACCCCGATCTCACCTAAGATGGCTTGAAACGATTGGAGCGTACTGGAGATAGTTTGTGTATATATATAATGTATATATGCACCGTCTATGCACTGTCTCAAGGACAAAGCAAGGTACCTTGTTTCATGGGCTGAATGTTGCAGTGTCATTCCATCATATTCCATCCACTCATGAACACGTCCGACGAACAAAGATTGCCACCGCTATAGAATCTATAGGACTATGGAAACATGAAGAAACCTCTAGCTGATCCACAGTCTCAACATCTATAGTGGCGAGCCTCCAATGATTGGTTTCACTCAAAGTAAGTACAGTAGATGGAACATGTTGACACTCCCTCCAACAATCCAAAAAATCATGGAAGTGGATGGCATGGCCCCCCGAAAAAAAAAAAATGTCACCAAACAGGGGAGTACCTGCAACAGTCGGTAAACAATCATAAATTTAGACAAAGCATCTTTACTAACCATCATCATTCACTGTTAGACCCAAGCTTATTGCTAATACTGTAGGCTGTACCCCTAATAAGGAGGGCAAGTGGTGAAGGGCATTTCTTCGGATTTATCGGGAGGATTGGATTCACCGCGTCCAGCCTGGATCCGCGTCCCGCCGTCGGTTCGGTTTGTCGAGTTGTTCTGAGGACGTATTGCTCCGTGACTCGTCCCAAAGGATCTCGCTGTCAAACCTGCTGGAAGGGCATTTAACATGGAACTTGCATGGAATAGCTACAGGATCTGGGGCAAAACCTGTATTGCATGGAATCAATTCATATCAATTCTAAACATGGAGCTGTGAAAGGTGATTTTCCTCCACCCCCACCCCCTGCGTTGTTTGGGAGGGGGTTGTGCGTGCGGTGCGTGTGCGGTCGGGAGCTGTACCGAGTTGGCTCTCGCTGCCCTCTTGTGTCCTGAGCCAGCTAAACATGTACACCCCTTTTTAAAATTTGGAGGTTGACTTTAACTTAAGAAAAGGCTGACCATTTTGTTTTGTTTTCTGCGACAACTTCTATATAAATACTTCTAACACCGAAGCTGGACTAGATACGAGAAGTTCTGGAGGGAGAACTTGGGGGAACATGTGCCATCTGTCACCTGATGAGCATTTTTCTATTTGACAAGTCTTACAGTCTGTCTTTGGCAAGCTAGAACTTAAGTAAGCTTTAGCATTGGTGGGGTGTAGGTCTACACTGAGTCTACACGATGCGAAACATTAGAACCCGTGGGTCCAAGAGCATGATTGCTCCCCAACTTGCTCAGGTCGCCACCATGCAGAGATGGAAGCTTTGCGCTTGGAACTCACTGGGCACTTTTCCCCTGACCAACCTGTGCCTGTGCCAGATGTTTTGAACGACGCGATGGAGAACGAGGAGGAGCCGTCTGAGGAGCTGTCTTTGTCGCCCATGGAGAGGCGCGACTTCCGTGTCCGTTCCGCGTTCGTTCAGTGCAGAACCCGCAGGCTGGACGCGTTTCTCACGTTGTATTGCGCCATTCGAGTTGAAAGATCTGTTGCATCTACCGGAAAAGGGTCTTGCCCCAGTGTGTGCAAAAAGAAGCTACCGGCCAGCATGGCAATTGTGATGCCAAGTGTATAAATGGGTACCTACCTTACCTGTTAGGTGACTGACTGTACTGCTCAATGCGTGACAATCCGTTGAGATGGATATGGCCCAAATTTCTTGAGGCAAGGCTCCGCATGATGCTTCCAGAAGTCCTATTTGCAACACTGGAATGGTCAAGCGTTGCGGGGGCCACTTGTGGCCTCATAACCCAGACGCCCTACTTGCAATAGCATCCAAGTATTGATTTAAAATGATTTAACAAGGGCAATTATTTTTGGCTGCTGCACTTGGCATGAGCCGGTGGAGATAAGGCCAAACTCCCCCTGCCTGCAGGTACAGATCGGTGTAGTTGGCTTGCTTTTTGCATCCCTAGACTAGACTCCTCATCCGAGTCACAGCTATCAGCTGTTGGATATGGCTGAAGACAGCTGAGAGCGGCGTGGAGGTCTGAGCCCTTCCTGAACCTTTAGAAATCCTCAGTGGGATCAGAAGCCTTCCTACGAATAGTGGATGACCTCACTATAGAATGCAAAAAACGAAAGATCATGCAATTGACTCAGTTCCCCACTGGGTTTGCTGTGTGGCATTGTAATTATCCAATTGGGAACGTCCAGTGCTCCGCCGATTGCGCATCGCTAGGTGGACAACCTTGACGGAACGCCTCATGGACGAGCATGAGTGGATGACCAGCGTGACAGGACGTGCCAGCGTGGCGAGTCCCGCGCCAGAACGAAGTTGTAGGACTCCTCCTACGCTTTTACATGGGCGCCATGCCCAAGTCATCCCAGTTGGTCCGACCTTCTATTGCATAGCATGAACAAGAAAAGAGTCGGACTCAGGGCGCCCAAAACCACAGGGTTCGGGTCCATGTCAGAAGAGAAGGGAACAGTGCCCTTCTCAAGCCACCTCACAGGATATGTTTATAGAGTGGGCTCTTCGAGTAGTAGATGGCACAAGCTACCTCAAGGTCGGTGGGGTAGTGTCGGTGGACCTCATCTTTTCAGGACATCCTAATGGGTGCCACTGCGATCTACTCTGAAACCACTGTAGCAGAGACACCAGGATGGTCCCAGGATGGGGAGTTCTGAGACACCAGAGGAAGACAGTCGCGCTGTGCTGCTTGCATCGTGGGGTAGTTTGGGGCAGGGAGAGTGTTTGGGGCAAGATCCAGACAGAAGTGAAGGCTCATTCAATGCCTTTAGATGCGTTTAGTATTTGTTGTTAGTTGTTCGCTCATTTGCTTCTTGATTCCTTGTTTGCCCACAATGATGGAAACGGGGTAAAATCCCTCCAGTTGTGTCGTCGGCGCACGGAAAGCTGCAGGCCACGTGCAAGACTTTGAGGCACACATTGCAATAGTGGCATTGCTGAAACCCACTGAAAACCATGTCAGGAGCCAGCCCCTTTGGCCGAGAAAAGTCTCACGTCCACGATTTGCACATGCGACGTGCTTGGGGCACTTCAATCATGAGCAAGCGAAGGCGAGGTTCGTCGGGAGAGAGTGGCCTTGGAGGGGCGAAGACGAACGTCTCATTCTGTCCTTGTGGGAATCACTTGGCGGCCAAAAAAAACCTTAGTTTCAGATATGTGAGAACCTTGGGGATTGACTTAACGGGGTGTCAATCAAGCCGACTGCTTACGAAGCTTGCCGCTTCGGGTTGCCGGCCCCGACCCGTTTCCGAACCACTGGGACCTGCTTTAGCCCAGACACTGCATGGAACTGGCATAAAAACAACGACCCCTACCACCACCCCCTTGTAGGTACATATGCCGGTCCCATGGAGTGTGTGAGTAGATCATCGTACTTATGGCCAAAGGTGTTTTAAAGGGATGTTTTGGGAGCTTCGCTGTTTTGGGAGGCCCCTTGAAGAGCCACCTGAACAAACCCATGCTTGTGTGTGCAATATGAGACACCAGGATCCTGTTGGTTTCACTTCCATCGCGGACAAGTCTTCATTCACACGCACCAAGTCCCCTGTCTTTGCAAGGGCGGTGGGTGTACCAATTCTTGTAGTGTTGCGTGAACCAAGAACTGCGCACTCGCTTCCCCAAACACTTGTCCCCTAAACAATCCTAAACCACAAGAACTCGTGTACTCCCTCCATTTCCCCGAAATAGCCTGTAATTACCTGTATCGTCGATATGTTCCACGATGCCACGTTTCAGCACTTTGGTTCGTTTTGGGATGGCAAGCCAGATTCAAGAGGCTATATATATATAATTCAATATTACATATACAATTACATACATGTTGATAGCTCATTTTCCTGAAAAGGATTGCAGTCCCAGTCCCAATCCAGAAACCGCTGGCAGGGAGTCCATCTCCCTCTTTTCAAGTCGTTTTCTGCGCAGGACGCCGGCCATGAGGGCCTCTGTGGCGCTCCCCTATGCCAACTCGGCGCTTCGCATCAATGAGGCTCAGACAGACAGCTCCTTCTTGTCCTTCTTCGTGGTAAGACCTCAGAGTTCCGTGGCGAAGCTGAGGCCGTGGTTCTTGTCCTTCTGTTTTTCTTTTCAAAAGATCCTTGTAGGGACTTATTGTGATGATCGTGAAGTTTGGAGTTTGCCATTCAGTCCTAGCACGAGCAAGAAACTGTTGTGCTTGATTTCTTGAGAGTTCTTTGGCCCAGAGGATTTCCATGCCACTGCCGCTCCTATTTAAATTATGGCATATGGTTTGTATTTAATGAATACCACTCGGTGAACCAAAACCACCGGTGTTCGTTCTGCATGGCCACACGGCGCAACTCCAAGGCAATATGCAGCTTGTGTGGTCCATTGCTGCATGCATTCTGATCATGTGGGATATGAGCCCTGGCTATGGTACAAGAGGTCAGAAATATAGAAGCAGTAGCAGTATGGAGCACAATTGATCAGAAAATAAGAGATGCATTGGCTCGAAAATAGCAACATCAGAGGCTAGAGGAGTCCAAGACACTGAATGGAAGTGCGATCAGACATCAGAGCAGATGTACATCGGATGCCTATTACTGTAACTCTTAGTTACTCTTAACTTATCATCCCCTATCTATATATAGATATTCCGCTACAGATCCCAGACAAAGAGAAAGACGGGGAGAGTAGGCAATCGGAACAACACAAAAAGGTTCAGCCGTAACATATTCAGGCCCTGTTTGAAGGCTTGCCCTTGGGAATGTCGACCATTGAGCAGGCATCAGACGACAATGCGAAACGGCAAACCTCCTTCCAAGACAATGTTAGATGCGTTAAGCTGGTTTGTACCCCATCTAGAGTGCTCCAGAGTTGTGCCAGATGGGTAAACTCATTGCATGAGGTGGTAGACTATGACTGCTTGTTGGAGATGGGTTGGGTAGTGGACCTTGAGCTTGAAGTAGCTTTGAAGATTCCTGCTCGTTGCAGCGTTTCTGTCGCAGCTCTTGCTGCTGTTGAGGATTACAATCCCACTGGAGTTCTTCGATGCGGGCGAGCTGCAGATGGTGCAGAATGTCGTGAGCTGACTAGCAGAACGGCGCTAGCACACATGGAAATTGTATATCCATGTATATCTTGCTAGTGCCGCTGGTTAATGGTTGAGGGCTCTACGGACCAAACACGTTTCAGGGAACGCAAGGTGAGCAAGAATCATGAGTGTTTGTATTCAGGGGCTTCATTACAAAGCCTTAGGTGCCATTCGTATACTGGATATATATATATATATATGGATAGTTTTGTTACTGTTGCTTATTTGTTTTCTTGGGGGTTAAGTCGAGCCTGGCAGAATTAACACCAAGCGGTCGACAGGGGGGCTAGGGTCTTCAGCAGGGGATTTAAAACCTATTGACCTATGTCATATTCCCAGACACTCCATGGGGCCATATATGCCTACATTGGGGTGGTTTTGGGGGTCAATGTAGGCATATCATATATGGCATACATGGAGTGTTTGGGATTTTGTTATCGCTATGATGTTTAGTATTTTCTTAGATTAATGTGCCAGGTTCGAGGAACCATGCAGTTCACGTGACCTGAGAGAAGGTTTTCTTGGCAGCACTGGGCTCCAAACAGCATGTCCCTTCGTCAGCCATATGAACTTGAACAGTCTCAAACACACAAACTGATAAAAGCACAGCACAGGCAAAAGACCTTTGGAAGGCCCGTCCTCGAAAGGTTACTTGGACTCGATTCCATGGTTCAGCCGAGGGGGCTCACCTGGAATCCGACCGTTGGCATCTCCATAGAGTGAATCAAGTAGTGAATCATCCTCTCGGTAGATGGCACAAGCAGCCGCAGACCGGTGAACATTCAAGCTATTCCCCCAAGCAATCCCCTGCTCAAGCTAGCAGCTTCTTCCGAGTCGCACCACGATACTTGGAGGTCGCGTTTGTGAAGCTCCCAGGTGAATATCATTGCTTTTGTCTTTTGGCTTCTGGACATGCCATTGCAACTCAGCTGGAAGGCCTGAAGAGGTACCCCGAAACGTCCCAGTACAAAGGAAGGTCCAAGACATAATCCTCTATCCAATGGCGATTTGAGGCTGTCCACTCCTTGCAAAAGTTTACCGCTTTAAAGGAGAGCCATTATTGGACCACGCAGTATTCAGGCGAGGACCTTGATCCTCCACTGCTATGGAAAAGAGGTGTCGGGACTCCACTCCTCATAGAAAGATAACGCATGACAATACTACTGTATATAAAAGACTTCAATGCCGTCAACAACTCAGCACGTCGTTCATCCCAGACCGGGCTAGTCGAGAATCCGTTTTCTGGTAGTTGTGCTGTTGGCTTCGCAAACGACCCACCCACCCAGTCAGGGGCGCCCGTCCCTAAGCCTTTGGCGTATTTGAGGGATTGGGTTCCCAACAATGGAACGTGGTTAGCCAAAATATCTCAAAACATCTCACAACATCCGGGTTAACTTGGAAAGGGTGCGGAATTACAAAATAGTTTGCCAGACTGAACATCTCTAAAAAATCTCAAGCCATCTCAAAAAAAACAACAATAGTATACAATAGTGCAAGAAAATGTAAACATATGCAAAAATATGTAGAATATATGCAACCCCATAGGAAAATAGTCACGCGTTGAACGTCGCCCTGACATGACATTGAAGAGTATTCTGCGGGCTTTTGGGGTCTCAAAGATGTTACAAGATTTGAGGTTCTTCTTGTCACACGTGATCAATCGCGTGGTGAGCGCGCAAGAAAAAGCTGCGAGGGCTAGCATATCAAGGGAATGCTGAACATAAAATACAGTTTAACATCAGAAAGAATAGGTTAACATATATGTCACATGGTGTGTGTCGTGTTGATTTTCTGTGATCATATGTAGTCTTAATACATGGTAAATTGTGTTTTTTTGAAGTTTGTATGCAAAAACCATCGGAAACCAAACCCGGGCTGATCCAATCCACCACTAAGTCTCTTTGAGTATAGGATTCAGTGGACAACAACTTTTGACGCCCAGAGAGAAGGGGGAGAATGCTTGCGGCAGGTAAATTAACCAATTTTAGATCCTTTTAGGACTATCTAATGTTCACTTGTTTCTGCGACATGCCACCTGTTTCGCAATTTGCCAACAAAAAGGTAGGAAGTAGCGTGTATATATATATATCCGTTTGTGTGTTTTTTGGTTGCATTTGTATACATGTTTTTCTATTTTATACTCCGGGGCACATCCAAGGGGTGATTCATGGACACCCCTTAACTTCGGCCGAGCTATGATTAGACACCCGTTGGCCCGGGTATGTCAACTCACAATTGGTCCAGACGACACTGGAGGCTTGGCGGTGTCAGGGCCGCTGACACAAGGGATTTGAGATGGATTGAAGTTTGTTTGTTTTTGTTCATTTGTTGTATTGGTTAGGTGCCACCTTTTTTGCACGACATCTTGGAGTGTTTTTGGTCCCAGGCACGCTTAGACACACCATACGCGGCACAGACAGGGTGCCATGCGTTTGCCCCATGTCCATTTGCCTATTCTTGGAAACATTGTCTACATAGAGTTTTGCAACCAGTTGGTGCACACGACCGATCTGATGTTCGAAATCAATTTCAGATTGGTAGCTTTGCAACTCTGCTCGTCAGCAGGGGCTGCACAGGCCCGAACCCATGTTAATTACCTATATTACATTATTATAGTTTGTTCACCTGTGGAGAAGGGCTGCCAAATGCCAAGTTCGGGCTCATGACAACCATTAAATGTGTTGAGACATGGTTAGCCTACAAGCAAATCCAAGTCTCCTTTGTGGTCTCCAGTCCGAAATCCGCTCGACTACAGCCATGACACCTCCCGATGGAGCGACCGGGCAGCTGTCCGAAGGGACCTTTGGGTCGGAGGCGACCTGGTTGAGCGTCCCGGGCGAGCAGCCCGAGCAGCCCGAGACGGCCATTTGAAGGTATTGGACCAAAAAAGCAGGGAGAGGGGCGGGGTCTTGTTTGGAGGCTCAAGATTCAAACACACTTGATGGCAGGGAATCCCTTTAATTAGTACAGGAAATATAATATACGAGAAGCGGTGACACTTACATTGAAATTGTTCGTTTTTGCTGTTAGGTGGCCGAATATGTGGCGCAAATGGATATTTTGAGGCCTGAAGTTTTAAGAACTACTCACACAAAGCCTTCTGGTGCTGTGGGCGAGCACTGCGATCCTTCAAGCACGATGATGACCTCTATGGAAAGAGCTATATGAGTGAACAGATCTCTTGCTTTTGGTCTCATTCCTGGCATGGTGGGCGCTGGAGGAAGGTGTTGTCACTCATGATGTGCTACAATGGGCTACCATCAGTCCTAGGATTTTTTCACCGCTTTGGTCACGGCGATTCTCTATAGCTGCAGCCTCCTGCCGGGTATTATTCGTTTCGGGGCAGAGCATCATCGTTGGTCGACCTGGTCACTGGCAAGCAGCTTTGTAACTGCGGTGCTTGCATTTGTCCTGTGGCGACCGCGGCAGCAGGTCATTCTTGACCGGATTTGCATCAGTGAGAGCAATGATGACTTGAAGGCCGCTAGCATTTTTAGCTTGGCAGGCATCTTGAAAATGTCAGACCAGATGCTCGTACTGTGGGACCCGACGTGGAGCGATCGTTTGTGATGTATATTCGAGCTTGCTGCCTTTCTGAAAAGTAAAGTCGCCAGTGAACAAATACTGCTTATCAAACCAACTTTCCTTGGGCCATGTTCGATCGGTCTTTTCATCGCTGTGTTTGTCGTGATGCTGCCTGTGACTACTGTTCCGGCTGTCACCTTGGGAGAGAAGGACCTTCTTGCCACATTATCGGGTATTTTTCTTGTCTTTGTGATCAGTGCTTACACCATTGCAGTTTCCTTCAGGTAATATTTTCGTTCCATAGAGACCTTAAAGGATAAACTAAAGAACATCAACTTTGACGACGCCAGATGTTCCTGCTGCGATCTGGGCCATGTAGACAGAGGAGCCATCCTCATGTGCGACAGGCGAATTGTCAAGGAATGTGTGTCAGTTTGGTTTGGCAGTCCGGAGGCGTTTGAAGACTACGCTCGATCAGAGGTCTTGCATGCTTTGGTTGGAGGACTGCATGACCAGATCTTCACCAGAGGGTGGAGCCTCTCCGTGTCAAGCCCCATCCTTTGGGCGTTTCTCGATCTTGCGGTCTCCAGTGCGAGAAATGACCAAACAACCTTGGCCATTGCTCACGCAATCGAGGGGATGGTGCTTTGGTTCTGTTGCGCGCCGTTCTTTATGGATTTGTTCACCTTCTTTGCCTGCAGGTATTGCCAACGAGGGCCTTCCATGTTCCACAAGATGTTGCAGAACCTCAAAGTTGTACTTGTGGCAGTTGCTATCTTTGGTTTGATTGCTACAAGCTGGGTCCTTTCTGATTCATATTACATAGTTGAGCGTTTTGATCATGGAACTGCGCAGTTTGCAGGAGTGTGGGGCACACTTGCGCTGTTCCATTTCTTGTACAAAGTTTCAAGAAAGTCATATGGCTGTAACCGTTTTCAGCTTGGACCTCATGGCTGACATGATGTCGTTTGGAACCAAATTGCACATGCAGAAGAGGAACAGTGATGAAGTTCTGGGTCGCGTTTGCACATGTTTGCATAGATGAAGCAGGAACTATCAAGAGAAGAGTTGTTCAACCGGCTTGGCATCCCTACAGCTTTGGTTTTTGCATGGATTGTTGCACCCAAACTCTGAAGCCCAAACCAATTCGACGAACAAGCATTCTACGCCCTACACGTGATCCACTGTTTTTTTCCACCCGTGGGGTTGTCTCCAAGCCTCGGGAGGTCGTAGTTTTTCGGCTTTCGTTCAACTGGCCTCAGGAACTGCTTCTTTGGCGTCTTCCGGCATGGCGTCGTCGAGCTGCGGCCGAAGGTGCCGTTGTGGACCGGAGGTTTAGGGCTTAAGCCAATGCCGACTGAAAAGAAGGTCAAAAAACTGGAATTCGAGTTGGCCTTCAACATGGACAATGTTTTGGGTCATTCGTCTCGCTTTGGTGAAGACAGAGCTCAATGGAACCAAACAGAGCTCCACTTCAAAGTCTTGACATGTTGTCCTTCGTGAACGTTGATTGATTGATCAGGGTAGTTCACGATCCCTCGTGATGTTCATGAGATGCAGAGAAACAATAAACTAGCAACTAGCAGCTTGGAGGCGGCCACGAAAAACTGCATCCATGGGAAATTGTGTTGCAATTCAAAGGTAGGACTTGCAATTGCACAGGAATAGAACATGTTACTTTGGGGGCTATGCAGGCTATACACTCACCTCGAGAGAGCTTGCGGATTCTGATGCTACGTACCACGGTGAATTTTATGCACATGTGGGCGTGCAAGCAGTATCAAGACGCATCAAGTAGTGGCTGGTTCTGAGCAGGGTCTCCCGAATTCTCCAAAAACTGCGGTTGGTAAACCTGTGTGGTTGGCTGTGAGCCATTGGGTATTTGTTTGCTTGCAGTTGAAGAATCTAGATCCATTGGGGTTAGCGCTTGGACACGTTGTTCAGTTCCTGTGGTCCATCAGAAAATTCTTTGCTTTGTGGGCGGGTGTTCCCAGCACAACAGCCGCTTAGCCACAAAGGACTGGGCCGTTTTGGGCACCTGTGCCTTTGCACAATGGCTAAATACATTCGAAAAACAATCGAACTACCCATGAAGAGGTCAAACATTATTGAGAACTTGACCTGGCCGATGGCTTCCTGTTTCGGCTGTGACCCACACTCCAAGATTCGCTCTGTCTTCAGTGCGAATGGGACCAAGCAGAAATGACTCCCCGTGTTCTTCTCACCATGCCACCTCAAGGAAACATAAGAATCAGCTCTACACCATCCACCCAGTAGCCGCTAGCGAACCGCTCTAGTCTTGACTTTCAGTGTGCCAGAAAGGTGAAGAGCGACCTTCGCAGCCCTCTCAGGTTCCAATGTATAAACAAATTAAGACCTGTCTACTAGGAAGTGGTACCTTTCCATTCTGGGAGTGATACTTTGTCATAAATGAATCATGAATATACACAGTATTCATGCAGATGCATAATTATAGCACATTGACATCGGAGTGAGTGCAGGTCTTAGCGGGGCTCTGCTTCCGCTCCTGGTTCGGCGTCGATTTGCTGATCATCACCATCGACATCGCTCGCTTCATCGCCGAAGCCTTGCCACGTCGATGAAGCCGCGGCGTCCGACGTTGGACCCACCGGGGCGTCCGTGGCCGTATGGGTCGGTCCCACCAGGTCGAGCGTGGAACATCGACCTCCAGGGTCGGGCGACGGGTGCTTTGTGTGAAAAGCGGTGGTGACTCATAGGCACTGTGAAAATGGCATTTGTGTTCTGTGAAAAGGCAGGTTGGGAAGCCACATAGGTTCGATAGTTTTACCTGAGAACATGATGCACTTTGCACTTTCAAGCAAATCAGAAGAGACAGAAGAGCTCCCTCGATTGCACATGAGTATCGATGGCGGATTTCCCTTCACAAGTGAAGTGCCATGTACTCGTACTGAGTAGTCGCTTCAGCCTTGCCACCCCCTCCACCTTTTTTGAGCCTGTCCTCCTTCTTGCCTTATGAATGGGGGAGTTGTCCTCATGTTTCGCGATTTGTTGGGTTCCTGCCCAACCCTACTTGCCTAACTCAACAAACAAACTTAGATTTGGATCGCTTTTTTCCCATATGCTTCCTAGCCACAAGCAAACCTATAGATTTGTTGGGTTCCCGTTGACCACTTGGGACATTCGATTGGAGTGATTTGCCAAGTCGTCGTGGGGTGCAGTGCCTTACCCTGCTGGGTCCGAGGCTACAAGGCAGCATGTCCAGCAGCCTGCAAGGGGGCCGCTACCTGCGTGCGTTACGGATCTTGAGGCTGCTGCGCCTGACGCGCATTGGGAAGCTGCAGAAGAAGTTGCTGGAGCTGCAGATAGATGCAGTTGAAGTTCCCTTTTTCGTGTGTTTCCCTCATTCTGGGTGTTCCAGGCGGATGTTCATCGGATTTCAAGGCCTTTGGAAGACGTGATGCGGGGATCCCGCTACGTGAGGCTTTTTTGTTTTCAACCCGACTTGAACGCCATTTGGGCGCGGGCGGAAAGATGACGAATATGAACAGCCGTGCCACCAAAGGAGGAGGTAGTTGGAGGTATGAACAGCCTCCAATCGTGTGGAACTCGTTCCCTCAAATGGACGAAATTAATTGATTCAAGTGGACGACACACTCAAGCCTGAGAGGGCCTGACGCCTTTGTGGCTATAATTTCCTGAATGTTATTTTGGATTTGGAATGCTCGATGCTCCTACAGACTCTATTGATTTGCGTGGTGCTGTAATCATGAAGTTGGTAATTCCCATAGGGTTTGCAATGTTACAAGTGTCAGTGATTGAGTTTGAGTGGACAATGCGGTGTACTCTTGGAGCATATCCACATGGACTTTGTTTGGATTGTTTGGGGTATTGGTGAAATACCTCCCGTCCACCCCCCTTGATAACCCAGGTGAAGTAAGCCATGAGCCATTGTACTGGCTTAGAAAACTTCCACACCCATGAAGATATAGAATATAGAAATTCCTTGAATTTCCACGCCAAATGATATATAAATAAGTTTAAAGTTTTTATATACCTGGAATCTCCAGCAGTGCCAAATTCTAGCCCCTCCGAGTGCTTTTGGTCACCCCACTTCCCCAAGGATTGACAATTTCAATTTGGAGTGACATTTATTACTCTTAAAGTATAATTTACATTTCCCATATTCATATGAATATACCTAGGGCCTAGGGCAATTTCATGAGTCTGAGAGGAAGAAAGGCCGAAGTGGCATGCATCGAGATGTCGTGTTAGAGACCAGGTGTTGTGCTTGGTTTCCGTTTCCTTGGCGACTAAGTCCGCCGTGTGATTAGCTACCATATGGCTCTATGACCACGATTTTCTCAATTTATTGCAGTAACCAAGGAGGATTTGCTCAGCTTCCATGATTGTTTGAGGCGGCGTAGAGGGGTAAGTAAATAACGTAAATTTCATACAAATTCTTGGGGCTTTCCAAGACCATTAAGAGAAAGGTTGACCGTTGTTTTCTAAAAACCTTTGTAAGACAACGGCTTTAGCGTGGCTTGGAGGTGGCAGGGAGCATCCTGTATTTTGGGAAGATGTGCGACATTTTCAGGTCCCCTGGTTCAAATTCCAAGGTTTGCACTTCTGGCCAACCGCTTCTTGTCCACCTACGCCGCTCTGTCAAGCATTGGCTGGGACCAAGACTTTTCACCCGAAGTACTTGGCACTGCAGAGGCCATTTTAGGGAACATAGAGCAAGATGAAAGGACAGCTGTCAGGAATCAGATTTTGTTCAATCCTCATGAAGTCAATCTCGGCTTAGAGCTCTCCTAGCCGGGTGTTTGGGCTTATGGGCTTATGTGTCGAACTATCTTCCAGTTTGCCGGAGTGGGCTTGGGCCCAAGCAAGATCTCTAGAAAGCTCAGCTTTCCAGCCAAATCCTCCGTTCAATCCCCCTTCATATATGGGTCTCTTGAGTTTCAGTTGAACGACAAAGCTGCGGCTTTTCTTGCGTGATGGTCTTGGATACAGGCTGGTGGTATTCCCAGCGGCTGGGATTTCTTGAGGGCAGCGGCACCCCTTCACTTGAAGGTTTTTGCATCAGGGCATATACTTCAGAATCCCAGCTCAGAATGCAGCGATTTTGAGTGTTTTTGTGTGAGGTGTTCATGGTCTTGAAGGTCATTTGGACCTTGACCCTCATGTTGGCCATCAATCATATCATCGCATGCTGCTGCTTGGCGAAGTCGGTTCGTGGACCCCAGCATCGCATGGCCACACCGACTGGCAACCAGGTGGACCGCTACCACTGAAAAGAGTAGCGTAGAATGTTAATTAATAAGACCCCCTAAGTAACAGAATGGCTTGACATCTCCATGTGCCATATGGCGGTCATTTTGATGTTCGGGAAAAAGGAACAGTTCAGTTGACAATCTGGAGTTCCTCCTGCAGCCCATGAGAAATTCATGTCCAGTACGTGGTACCAGTGAAATCCCGCCATTTCATACATTGCCTGTCATCAGTCCTGCCATCCTGAAGATTACACAGACCAAATCATTTCCAGACCTAATTGTTTAAGGAGATTTGTGGATTCGCTTGTTAGCTTGGGGTTCCTCCAGAAGACCTCTAGGGACCGGGCACAAATGCTTACTACACTGGATGCCAAGCCGGCGACCGGGCCATGCAAGCTGAGAGATCCGTTTTTGGGATTAAAATTTCCCTGAGCTTGGGTCGGACACACGGGTTCTTCGAAAGCATTGTTCTATACTAGGCGTGGAGTGTTATGGCTTGGGAGTGTTGATTCCAGAGGGGAAAGCCGGGAAAAGCACGAAAACATTGATGTTTCACTGTTTCACCTATGTATACCTTAATCAGCCTCCGTGTTGCAACTCTTTTTCTCCAAGTTGAGAAACCTCATTTCAGGATGACTTTACCATACTCTACCTCTATCTCCATGTGTTATATTCCTGCGCTGTTCTTTTTTGCGCTCATGTGCCGCATGTGCCGCTCAGGCTGGTACGGCGTAGCCATGGCCTCGATTGACGAGCCCACCTGGCTCTCGAACGTGGCTTGGCCGCGCAAGATGGTTTCCAGCGAGATGGGAACGCGTCAGTGAAGAACTTTTCGATACCCCAGTCAGCCACATTTTGGACATATTTGGATATAGTTTAAATGGAGATAGCAGGCCTAATTATGTGCCTTTGAGTTTTCGGTTCTAGGAAACGACAAGTGAACTAGGGCGGCTATCCTTTATGTTTGTCAGAGGTGTTCTATTTGCAGCCCCTTCGTACCTTTCAGTGACAAAATCGGAAGTTGACTGGGTTGAAATGGGGAAGACATGTGCTTGCCACTTGCATCCACTTGTTTACTCGCAAGCATCATTCCCCAAAGCTTCATTTTGAAGATCAGCCAGCCCACCACCTTGATTATAATCCAATGTGAGATGGGCAGCACACAAGCCCATACAACCCCCCCAGCTCAGGTGAATTTAGACGGCAGTGGAACCACCAGCGTCTTTGACTCCTATGTGGCGTCGCTCCATTGGTCCTTGTGACCTGGTCACATCAGTCGGATCGAAGATTCGCCTCGAGAGCATGGTGGCAGGGGGGAAGCTTTGGTTCACTTGCATAGCTCATGGAAGGCATGAACTAAGACCTTTTGGTTGTGACTTCTTATCGCATTTCGTGGGGTATAGAGGTTCATAGCTGCATGTTCTTCTGCGTCACAGACCTTTCGTTGTGCTTTGTGCTCCCAAAAGCGCCCGTTTGCCCTGTTCCACCTTTCGCCCGACCATGAGAGTGCTGTGCTTCCGGACCAGGACGCAGTTCACACCCTCGACCAACAACATCGCTCCGGCCAATGCCCTTGAGCGCTCGTTCGCGGTCTTTGTCATCCTCCTGGCCATGGGTTTCTTCTCTTCGCAGCTTGGGCACGAGCAAATTGGGTCGGATGCGTTGCCTGAGTTTCAGGTTGAACTGCCTTGGGTTGTCGATAAGAAAGAAAGGCGACCAGGCGGCTTATTTTGGAATGATGTGCTCCTACTTTTCAGGAAACCATTCCGTCCGTTGATTGCAAAGGCCCAGCCATCGTCCCCAAGAGATCCAGATCTATGAATCTATACTATCATTTAGTCGTTAGGGCTGGTTCCGTTCATTCTCCAGGGTTCAGCCCCTTTGCAGAAGTTTTTTGATTTTTTGTGCAATTGGCCGTGGCCGACTATAGCTGAGTCCTTCATGTATTGGACCAGACCTGGTGATTCTCCAAGCTGAATGGTGCAAACACCGTTTCCCCGCCGAGCCGTTTCCTGGGGAATCTGCCGTTTCGCCGTTGCACCGCGGAATCGAGGTTTGTCGGCTCCATCACCTCAACGGTGAATAGTTTGCGCAGCTTACAAGCGGCCAAGGTCAAACAGCCTCTTGACACCAGTTGGGATCACCAGACAGTTGGGTCGCGTGGAGAGTTGGGCGGATGATTCATGCATGTCAGTCTCATCACGAAATGACCATTTGGCAGAGGATTTTCCACAAATACATATGATTGTTATCATGCTTTTACTTTGGACCTGCTGTGAGAGATTTTTCATTAAGCTGCTGAGGCAAGACACGCTCCTGCAATTCTTTGTGGAGCAACTTGGAGGGAATTGTTTTGCCGTCGGTCAAGCCAAGCCAAGTTGTTGGTCAGCCAGGGATGTGAAAACTAGGCTCGCTTGCAACTTGCTGAGGCATGGTCTAAGCACTTTTAGGGTCGGAAGAGAAGCTCCAAGTTTCATGTCACCAGCCAGTAGTGTATGTGAAGCAGAGTTCCTCAAGATCGTTTCAAGTTTCCACTGCCAATGTTTAAACATGACAGTTTTATTGAAGAGTGTCTTTTTTTGCAAAAACCTGGCCAATGCGCTGTGGTTGAATTGCTCAGCAGGTGTTGGACATGTTTGGCTTATCCAAGAGTTGGAATCTATTTCATTGATGACAGGATCCCTAGAATCTATAGAATGGTCCACAAAGGGCTTCCCTAGCAGTTGAGCTAACACGTTGCCGCCGTTTTGCTAACACTCTTTCCCCAGCAAGACATGAACAGCACGGCTTCCTTCTTCTTGTCGCAAGACATGTCATGTCTGACATGTGACGTGAGGCGAAACATGTCACTCGATTTGTACAGCAAAGTGCAGGAGGTGATCAAGATGGAGACATTTGGCGTGCTGGGTGTGTGGGGGAGGGGCCTTGTAGCAATTTGCACCCCCCTGGTACGGAAGGGTGCTACACCCCGTGTGGTCACCAGTGAACGCCAAGACTATGTTGTGGAGGTATGTGGAGGTCAATCTAAAGGAGCTTTTGGGGGTGTTTGTGCCATCTACTCTGCAGGGTGCACGACCTACGGCAACATGGCAAGTCCCACTTTAAAGAAAAGGTATGTTCAATCCCATAAGCCAGACAGTGCCAGACATAGTAATTCTTTGAGTCAGAATAATTAACATGCATCCATTCGCTCAAGCGCTGCCCTCGTCGCCGGTTGTGCAGGTGGCACCCCCCCAAAAAAAGGGTGGTACCAGCGACGTAGATGAGAACCTTGAAGCCTGGGAGTGTTGCGTGCTGGTGCTGCGTGATTTGGGCCTTCGCATTGTTTTGGTTTATTGGACATCCTCCAATAGCTTGAGGGATTGATGCCTTCCAGCATGCCGACCGGGCTGAAATCAAACCTCTGATGGAAACAAAATGAGGGAAGTATAACTACGTCTTTGTCACGTAGCTTTCTTGTAGCAAGGTTCTGATGCAGCTTGGGGAGGATGAGTCATCGCCGGCCTCGGTTCGGTGCGCTGAGGAAGCTGGCGGAGGTTCGCTTGCACGAGACAGACGTGGCCTTGGTGAATAGCCTTCCGGAACGATTTCGGATCCAGCTCCATGAGGTGTCTTGGTGTTCGCCTTCACAGTGATGGTTTGGAACAGCTTTCAGCTGAAACCACCGTCAGACATGTGAAATCTATGCATGTTGAACTCCCTATGAGCAAAAAATCAAGAACGAAGTGGTAATTAGATGCCCCATGTTCCGGCATTTCCTACAATAGCCGTCCAAATCCACTCCAAAAAAACGCATTGGAGAGTGTACCTAAGTCGCTCGTGTTTAAACGGTGAAGTTTGTTCCCTTTCCCGAAGATCAAGTTGCTGTTTGGTGGGTTAGGTGGTCTGAGGACTTCCGCATTCATGCGCATCTTGACCTCAGAAACCCGACAGCGCACCCAAGATGCTTCTCTCCAGTGTTTCCAAGCGTACTCTGCAAGAGCAATAAAAGACAATGAGTAGTGCATACTTGGTTTCCTCTGGAGAGTTCCCCCCCAACTCATTGTTTAACGTGCAATTGGAGAGGCACCTATTTGTGAATAGTATTCACCAGGGCCACTTCACGTTATATCAGGTTGCTTTTTGGTTTGAAGTGCTGTCGTGATCAGTATCCACCTGGAAACATTGGTCTGCTTGAAGCCGTAGCCCGTGACTTGTGAAGCCATTTCCATTGCATCATTCGAGCGGAGGATGATCGCAAGAAGGAAGTCAAGTACCAAGAACTTTGTGTTGAGACCGAGGAGATGTATATGCATTCCGTGCTGAAGCTCCATGTTTGGCCTCAAGAAGTCCGGGAGGCAGGGCGAATCGGGGCCGTCTCCACTACTTCCCCACCTGCCCTGCCCTGTGGTACCGGGGTGTAATTTAAGGCCGCGGGAAGTCCGGTAGGCAGGGCATGGAGGCCAACGGCTTTGGTTGTTGAATGTTGTTGACCAACTGAACGCTGTTTTGGCGTGTCATTCAAGCCTCCAGATGTGTCATTCTTGCAGGGGGGGGACCAAAGATGTCAATCTTGCCCTCCAATGCTCCCGGAGTTATAAGGAACTGACCAAAGAAGCAATGAAGGGTGGAATCCGGTGGAGCATGAGGGGCACCAACCGGCAGTCATAAAGGTTGGACATCAACGAAGGTGAGACCCCAGTGACTCCGTCATACTCCGCAGACCCGTCGAATCGTGATCCGGTCAGGATCCGGAACAGATGCTCTTCCTTCGGGAGCTGTGCCATGAAGCGATGCCTCTCAGCTCAGATTCCAGTGATGAGAGGCATCACACGGTGGGGTACCAGGTTAAGACCGTTGAAGTTAGACTTGTCAGGGCTGACACGCACGAAAGTGGTGCGAATTGTGATGGAACAAAGTCCTATTCCGCAACTCTCTGGGAATGTGATGATATATGGTACTCCCTACTCCATTCTACAGCTTCGAACTGTGGTGGACACGTAGGAGACGTGTTTGGAGCCGGAACATCGTGTCAAATGTCAAGAAGAACATGATCAAATCGATCAAATGGTGGTCAGAAGAGAATGAAGATGAAAGGTTCTAACTGTGCTGAGTTCACATGGCGACGCAAAAGGTTCATTCTCCATTTGCATCCACCCACTAATGGATGGAGAATTGGATCATGAAGAACTGTAGTGGGTGGATTGAACCTTTTGTGCCGCCGTGTGAACTCAGCACGGTCAGAAGCATCCGAAGCGATCATTTGCATGGAATAGTTCTAGTCTAGAGTAGACCTGCAGTAGTAGAGGTCCCTATTTTGATTACAAAACTCGGTGCTGATAGCACCTTAACTTCTATAAGTTTTGACACTTGCACAGCTTTTTTGCATTTTTTGCATTGTTTTGATAAGCTCGGAGCCACCTGTTGCTGCTCACTGCTCACCCATCAAACCTTGAAAATGCATTTTCACATCACTCACCTTGTCTTCTTTTCATCCAAGCACCCACCTCCCAAACAGATCCGGCTGTGGATGCCGAACCCTCGCGACTGGCTCAAACCGCCGAGGTCCGAGCGGGTGGTGAAGCGAGGTGAAGATTTGTTCCTGCCCGGCACGGACTCTTGGATTGTTAACATGAAGCCACTGAAGCTACTAGGGGCTTTGGCCTTACTACTGGGAACAAGAAGCTACTAGTAACAAGGACGCTAGTAGGTTGGAGGCTTGTAAATTACAAAAGGATGACCTGCCTACGAAAGGGAGACGATATTTGCCTTGCAGGGCTTCAGAATGCGTAACTAGACCGACTGGGCACGGCCGGCGATGGAGGGGCTCGGCCAGCGGTGGTGGCGAAACCATGGAGTGATCTTGACTCGCAGTCTGCGCGAGTTCGCTGCCAGAATCGGTCGTTTGGTTGTTTGTCATGACAAATCATGGATGAACAGAGCAATGGACGAAGCACGTATTGACCATCCATATGAGCCAAGCTTCATTTTGGTTCGATCCCGTTCGCCTCACCAGAGTTGTGCACCGGGCCCCGCAGACTGGCCTTAACAGATTCCTCCAGACGACTCCCTTGGGCTGGCCCCGGTGACTCAGGTCGGAGACAAGACCTCAAAAAGGGGCCAGAAGGATCCACTTGGATGTGATCTACAACATGTCATGTGTATATATTCAACTGTATTCATGGTTCATCATGTTACCTTTGGTTTTGCGTATGTATGATATGTTACCTCTGGTTTTGCGTATGTATAATATGTAATAGATCTTATTGTTTGGACTTATCCCTGCCACCAAAAGCCAGCTGCAAAGTCGAAATGCTTGTGGGGTGGTGTTCCAGTGAGTGTTTCGAACTCATGGTTTTCATGTACCAACTGTTCTTCCGACTTGAAAAGTCAGATGCGGAACCCCGCGCATGAGGACTGTGAACATGCCTACATCCTTGAGCCCGGATTTGCGATGACTTACGTATCTCAGCGATGACCGTCATCCGGTCCGACCGTCCTTTGTGGGTCTCTTTCACAGCAGCTGTTTGTGACATGACACCGCCAATTGAGCAGCGGCCAACAGCTAATTCTCGGAGGCCAAATTGAGACAACCTAAGCCAGAATTTCTTGCAGGCTTAGAAGAACTTTTAACGACCTGTTCCCGAAACGTGGTCGTTGATGGCTACCTGTTAACAGCTCGACTGTAAGACGTGACCTGAAACCAACCTCAGAGCATGCGGCGCTTTTGAACGCTTGCTTGACGCTTGCTTTGCATTCAAAGGTCGAGGGTGCCCTTTTTATAGTTGCAGATGTTGCAGGTAAAACGTCGAAACGTGCTCAAACTATCCCGTGGTTTCCATGTTTTTCCAGTTCATTATGGTTCGTTGCTCCTTTTGAAGACCACCCTGGACCGAAGTGGATTTCCCTTTTTCACCCTTCGTCGATGCGTCGAGGCCTTCCGAGCATCGCGGTCCTTGGTGACGCCCCACGATTCCGTATGCTTGCCATGCCTTTGGGCGGAGTCCTGGCTAGCTTGGCGTCCCGTCGACGCGATTTCTTTGCGAAGTCGGCTTCTGGGGGGATTCAATAAAGCAATGTTCCAGGAAACAGATGCTTGTTCCACGGCCAGGCATTTGCAGTGGCACCATGATTTTAGGTGGTTGAGATATTAATGATTGACATCAGGTGTTTGATGTCTTTTGATGGTAATTTTTTGCTGGAAGGACAAGCTCATGAGGTCACGCGCGCACGCATGTTTCACCATCAACCTCAGTTGTAAAGCAGGTTCTCAATGTATCGATAGTGGAGATGTGCTAGTATGCAAGCATTCTGCCCCACATGAACTTCCCCGACCCAAGAAGTCTCTCAGGGATGCTTGAAAAGGATGTGGCAAGTCATTACATAGGGGAGGCCTTCATTGCAGGACCCCCCACAGTGTCACAGCCAAACCAAGTCCTTTAGCGATGCCCTTTGTTCCGTTCGTAGCGTCCGACCGCTCCGTTCGTAGCGATGCCCTTTGCTCCGTTCGTCGCGTCCTCTACAATGCCATCCACCACGACCACGGACCGCTCCAGCGTTGACCACACCGGCATCTCGACGGAGAGCTCCGTCCGTTTCCGCAGGAGTGGCACCACTGCGGACGGCTCACCGCAGAGTTTGGCGCAGGAACTGGCGACGGAACGGACGGAGCTGGAGAAATCCAGTGCAGCATCAGTTGGTCCATGAAGACTGATGAAGATGATGAAGATTCCATGTGATCTATGTCGCTATAAGCAGTTGTGCAGTTACTGCAACAACTAAGCCTGGCAGCATGACTACTCAGCCAAGCAAATCAATACCCCAGATCAGCCGGGTTTAGCCACATAAGGGTTTTCAAAATTGCAACCTCACCTTTTGACATATTGTTATCATATAGAAACTCTTAAAGTCACTTATTAGCACCTTCCCAACATATTGTTGCTCATGTCCATCATTTTTTTGCACTTTTAGTTATTATTTTCTATCTTTTATTTTCAGTTTTTTAAAGAGGAAATTTAATATAATCAAAATTAAATTTATTGTTTGTTCCACCTGTCTTGACCCCATTGCATCTTGGCCCCCAAAACCATAGCCAGCAAGAAGCTGACCTCAGAAATCACTCCATCTCATATGAAAGTCTCACATGAAAGTCTCATGAAGTCACCAGTGCATGACACACACACACAGGTCTCACATCAAAAACTCATGAAGCCACCAGTGCATGACACTCACAAGTCTCATGTCAAAG